AAATGAAGCTGAGTGCTCATCTATGTGGAATTATTTATCTGTTACCATTTTATTAGTAATTGATAATTAAGCAAACCAGTTTATTGCCAAACTGAATTATGTCAGATATACCTTTTCTTTGCCAGTGGTTGAAAATTTTGACAGAAAAGAAATAAAGTATTGTATATTTAATAAAGCTAGGTCCATGACCTCACATAGCCAACCTCCTTTATTCTCTGGGACATATGACAAAGCTAACAATGGCTACACTGAAGTCATCATAGATCAGGAAAAAAAATAACCCTGTTGTTTCTAAGGTGCAAGACAGGAGATTCTATCTTTATATGTGCTAAACCTCTGCAAGATGAGAGATGGCATCTGAGAAAATTCAGCAGTCTTGGTAGCTTTCGGGGCCCACCTCGTGATCATGGTGTGACTATAATTGGTTTGGAGAACAAGGTGATTTAAAGGAAATGGGAAGTCATTTCTCCCTCCTCTTTTCATCTGACATGTGCTAATAGATACTTGCTCCTAAACAGCTGGCTTTGTGTTGGGGGACACTTAAGCAGAAGATTTGCTAGGAAGGGTTTTGGTTGAAAACAGGGACAAGATATATATGTGCAATGAGGCAGGAGTTTTGGCTAGATAATTTGCCAATGGACTCTTTGGATGGAAATAACTAACAATGATAAAGAAATCTGGCATGACAAAGTAAACATAGCCAGAAAGAAAAAATAAGCAAATGTCCTACACTGCCTGTTGAGCTGTTGTGACCCTACTTTCTAACAGCTGTCCATATTAGAGATGGGAACAGTATTTCTCATTCTTGACTGAATTCCATAAACAGCTGGGCAGGTTGAAATTAGGCTCTTGCCTGAGTTACCCAATCCTAGGGATTCTGAGTTACCTGGGCTAGCGCACAGCTTATACAGCCCAAGTTTTCGGAGTGGCCTTACATGATTTACTTGCAGTCACCCTTTCCAATAATGCTCTGGAATCTAAAGATTCCAATCAAATTCCTCATAAATCAAAATTTCTGTACAAGGATTCTCTTGTCTTGACTTGGGCTTTAGACACTAACAATAGAATATGAAGCTCTGTAATGGGAAACAATAGACTTATAGTAGATATTTAAAACTTTTAAGATTCCAATAGTATATATTTTGGAATGTGTTGCTATCTTTCCAAATCATACTGGCCTTGCTGCATTTGCTGAAAAACATAATGGAAATGACCCATTTTAATCTTTTTAATGCTTCAGTAGTTAACAGCCTGTGAAAACAGAACATATATCAAATATGTTTCTTTATTTATTTTTATTTGGGGGAGGGGGTTATTAAGGATTGAACCCAGTGGTGCTTAACCACTAAGCAACAGCCATAGCCCTTTTTATTTTTTATTATTTTAAAAAAATTTGTGTGTGTGTGTGTGTGTGTGTGTGTGTGTGTGTGTATGGACACAGCATGCCTTTATTTTTTTTATAAGTTTTATTGTTGGTTGTTCAAAACATTACATAGTTCTTGATATATCATATTTCACATTTTGATTCAAGTGGGTTATGAACTCCCATTTTTACCCCGTATACAGATTGCAGAATCACATCAGTTACACATCCACTGATTTACATATTGCCATACTAGTGTCTGTTGTATTCTGCTGCCTTTCCTATCCTCTACTATCCCCCTCCCCTCCTTCCCCTCCCCTCTTTTCTCTCTACCCCATCTACAGTAATTCATTTCTCACTCTTGTTTTTTTTCCCTTTCCCCTCACTTCCTCTTGTATGTAATTTTGTATAACCATGAGAGGCTCCTTCCATTTCCATGTAATTTCCCTTCTCTCTCCCTTTCCCTCCCACCTCTCATCCCTGTTTAGTGTTAATCTTCTTCTCATGCTCTTCCTCCCTACTCTGTTCTTAGTTACTCTCCTTATATCAAAGAAGACATTTGGCAATTGTTTTTTTTAGGGATTGGCTAGCTTCACTTAGCATAATCTGCTCTAATGCCATCCATTTCCCTGCAAAGTCTATGATTTTGTCATTTTTTAATGCAGAGTAATATTCCATTGTGTATAAATGCCACATTTTTTTTAATCCATTCGTCTATTGAAGGGCATCTAGGTTGGTTCCACAGTCGTGCTATTGTGAATTGTGCTGCTATGAACATCGATGTGGCAGTGTCCCTGTAGTATGCTCTTTTTAGGTCTTTAGGGAATAGACCGAGAAGGGGAATAGCTGGGTCAAATGGTGGTTCCACTCCCAGCTTTCCAAGAAATCTCCATACTGCTTTCCAAATTTGCCTTTATTTTATTTGTATGTGGTGCTGAGGATCGAATCCAGAGGCTCACACATGCTAGGCAAGCAAGCGCTCTGCCACTGAGCTATAGCCCCAATCCATTTTTTTTTTTTTTAATTTTGAGGCAGGGTCTCACTTAGTTGCTTAAGTCATCTCTAAGTTGCTGAGACTGGCCTCAAAACTGAGATCCTCCTGCCTCAGCCTCTGGAGCCATTAGGATTAAAGGCATATGCCACCACACCCAGCTCAAATATGTTTCTTTTTGAAAGAAAAGTTTGAAGAACAAAGGAAAAATGTTATTAAGTAGGTCATTTAGAGATACTGGGCCTTCTATTTTTAGTACAACTGCCTTAAAATGAAATGTGGCAAGGTGAATTAAGAGGGCACTTAGAATTCTTCCCTGTAGCATCTGCAGCTATTATTTCTCCTCAGGATCAGAGAGGATAAATATCTAGCCCCCAGTTTGATGCCTTCCAAAAGATCATTCACCATCCATTCATTCATTCATTCATTCATATATTCAAACCATCTTCTTAGAGGAAGTCATTCTGATACAGAGCAAAGTTGATCTGTCTGGGCTCTGCCTCTTCCGTGTTGTTAGCCACGAAGAGGATGTGCCCAGAATGTGAGTTCAGTACAGTGAGCCAGAAGCTTTGCATAGTGTGCTGCTGTAATTCCCAGGTTATGTTGCTGGTCTTCTGCTCACTACTGTGGGACTTGAGCCAAGTTCTTTAGCTTCTTTCAGCCCCAGTTTTCTCATCTGTGTGATATAGATGTACTTAGCACATCTATCCTGAGTACATTCTGGATATCAGGCACTGTACTGGGTAGTGGAGTTATGAAAGGGAATGAGGCTGAAGGGAGCTTGCTCACAGGGCATCTCTTCAGCCTGCACTGGTTGCAGTAAATACTAGCTGTTATCATTTGTATTATCATGGGCTATACTGGGTTCTTGAGGGATTCAGAGCATCGCAGATGATTAATGATACATCTGATTGTATTTCATGAAACAAATTAGTTTATTTAATGAAACTGTGACATTACTCCATATGCTCTGCAATGTGCCTTAGGATTTGGGGACATGGGTATAGGAGCAAAGGTGACAAATGCTTCACGTTAACCTGGACAGAATTTTTCAGGAGAGTGCAACAGATGAGAAATCAAGTGATTTGAGAGTGTGGCAAGAGCACGTTTAAATGTACCTTCTCTGTGCCCAGGAATTTAGTGCTGTAAAAAACTGAGAAGTCAGGTCACATTACAATAAATAAATTAATAAGGCAAAGGACAAGAGAGAGAGGAGGAGGCACATGGGTAAGAAAAAACAGAGGGATTAAAAAATTCACTCTGTGCTCAGAATGCAAGAACTCATTGCCAGAGGGTCAGGCATTTGATTCAAAGTTTTAAAAGAATGGCACCATGCAGATGACATCAGAAGCCAGCTACAGATTCTACTGTAGCAGATGCAGCCAATGTGGAATGTACAAGTAAAACATATGCAACTAAAGAGCCTTTAGTTGTCAACGTAGTTCAGAGGCACATGAAAGTCATGTGGAAGATGAGGGCTTATGATTAAAGAGGCAGCTTGGATGGTGGCATGCACCTCTAGTCCCAGCCACCTGTGAGGCTGAGGCAGGAGGATTGCTTGAGCCCAGAATTTGGAATCAAAGTGGGCAACATTGTGAGACCCTGCTCAAAACTAAATAAATAAATTAATAGATTGAAGAGAGAGTTGGAACCAGATCAAGGTGTTCAACGAATGTGAAACTGACCTGGAGATTGGCCAAGAGCCATACATAAATCTGGGGCAGGACATAGGTGGGTAAAAGTAGAAGATATGGCTGGTTAGCATGAGCATCAGAGGGTAATATTTAATTTTGTTTTTATATGACAATAGAGGGTCAGTGGTTTGACAGGACCAGTTAAGATCTTACCTCTCACCTAACAGGAGTATTGAAGAGAAGAAATAGAAAGATGGAGATAGTGGGCTGGAGTTGTGGCTCAGTGGTGAGAGCACTCGCCTTGCATGTGTGAAGCCTTGGGTTCAATCCTAAACACCACACACAAATAAATAAATAAAGGCATCATGTCCATCTACAGCTAAAACAATATTTTAAAAAATATGGAGATAGTAACATTCTTATGCTGGGAGCATGTCCTCACTGCCATCCCTGCAGAGACCATTCTGTAGAATCATTTAGATACATGTAGAAATGTTTCCTTTCAATCTGTCCAGGAGCCTCATCATCAGCTGTTCACAGTCCATCATATAAAATATTTCTTGCATTCAGCTATTGCTGTATCTTTCAAGGTAATCGGTAATAGCTGGGGTGTGGAGTCAAGGAATCCCAGGTAAGGAACTTTCCATGGATCCTTTGCTGCACAGAGCTGGGAAAGGTATTACAAGCTTAAACAAATGAAGGGTTTACCAAGTTCCCATCTATTAGTGGCAGTGGCTACATTAGAAATGTAGCCTAAGAAGCTTTCCTACGCTCTTGTATAAAACCTTAGTGTTCCATTCAGCATACCAATAAGGCTGGAGGTATCTTTGGAAGATTTTTTACTCTTAAAGCAGAGCCTTAATATTATTTTCAAAAAAAAAGTGATAAACTAGAGGGCTTGCAAGCATTAGACCAGGTGCTGGACGAATGTGTTTTTAAGAATCAAGTTAAGAACAGAAATGCTGGAAGCACCACAGATGGGATTTTAATGGAAGTTTCCTTTTCATTTAAGATCCTGCTGTCACCAAAAATAAAGGCACAATGTTCAAGACAGGTTGAATAAAAGGGAGTTTCTGAATATCTCAGCTCCAAAGGTAAAACTGAGGACAGTGCTCACCATGAAAGCCTTCCATGGCCTGTCCTTGCAGGCACTGGGCCTCTATGAGAGAAGATAAAAAAGAAACCACAATAAATACGTGATACACATGTGAATATTGGCTTTCTGAAGAATTATGATGTTCTGTTTTGAGCTACAAGGCACAGGTCTAATATTACTTTCCATCAGTTTAAACTGATGGTACATTTTGGTGGCACAATGAATAATTCATAGCAGGAGGGCTACCCAATATTAGAAATGGAAATCACTTAGTAAATGAAGATGCATCTACCCTGGTGGTATATTGCTCCATGGAAACAAATATTATTTACCAGTTTAGTTCCCAATAGAAAAGTCAACTTCATAAATAAATAAATAACACACCAACTAGGCTAGGTATTTATTGTTGTGTTTATCCCTGAGGTGTTCAGACCTTTTGACAGTATGATATTTAGTATGAATAAAAACAGTAGATTTTTCCTTCTTCACCTTCGATCAAAATGCTTTACTTTTGATTAAAATACGTGTATGATTTAACCAAGTATTCTAAATGCCAAATGTAAAAACAGATGAATTCTGTATAAACTCCCAGAGAATTTTGCAAACTACCAAATGGTATGCATCTGGAATGCTTGAGCTGCTTGTCAAATTTGTAGACACTCCTATTGGACTTTCAGTCAGATCCTTTATAGGCAAGGCACCGAAATTTGTACTTTTAAGAAGCACACTCTAGGATTCTGATGCTGGTGGGAAGAAAACCAGTGAGGAAAAAAAATGGATTTGAAGATGAGTCTTTCAGGGTTCCTGAGTGGGAATGTTATAGCCTAGAAACTCTAATTGGTAAAGCTTTGCTCTGGTCTTTGCTCAGCAAGATTTAAGCAAGACGATTACCTGTGGAATATCAGCAGATAGGATCTATTTTGGAGGATTGGATTTTATATGAACCTATTAAAAATGAACAAAAATTTCTCAGCATTTAAAATTAGCTTCTGTATTCCAGAAATAAAAATCAACAAGAAATAACTATAAAAGGCAAGTACGAGCAGAAATTCACTTTGCACTTCAGGCTGCATATTGGCTTTAATAGCACAAATTATTAATGAGGAATTTAAGAGAGCCAGGTGTTTTTCCTGACCCCTCTGCTGCATTTGACACAACTAATGGTGACCACCTTAATTAAAACCTTCTGCTCTTGACTCCCTGACTTGGTGTTCTGTAGACTCTCTAGATCGGAAATTTTGGGGGGGCACCTCTTTCCCTATTAACTAATGCACTCCCCACAGGCTGGGAATTTAAAAAAAAGGATCAAGACATATGCCTAATACCTGTAATCCCAACAACTCAGGAGATTGAGGCAAGAGGATTGCAAATTCAAAGCCAGCCTCAGCAATTTAGTGAGAACCTAAGAAACTTAACAAGACCCTGTCTCAAAACAAAAAAATAAAAGATGGGCTGGGAAGTGACTTAGTGGTAAAGTGACCCTGGGTTCAATCTCTAGTACAAAAAAAAAAATTAGACTTCTTGGTCTTCTCTAATCATACCATATTTGATTATTCAAATTCAAATATTTGTCTTTGGTGAATTGATCCTTTGTGACACATATTAACTCAGTCTTTGTGCTTTGTTTGGTATCTACTCATCTCTCTGTATATTTCCTTAGCTTATAACCTCTCCCTCCAGAAGACCCCTAAGTGGCAAAGTGGAAAGAGCAATACCTATGGAGGCAGATTTTGAATTTCAATCCTAGTTTGGTCCTAGACATTGAACATTGTGTTGGTGACTCATTCCTCTTAGTTTTTGTCATCTCTAAAACTGGAGAAGATAAAACTTTCCAAGTAATTGTTCATTTTAGGTATAACTAAGAACCATGTCTAGCACAAGAGCATGGCCCAGTGAATCATGGTGGGGGTGAGAGGATTATTCATAGCCTTCTAGTAGCTGCCAAGATCTGCTGCATGTTGCTTTGGTCTTAGAAAACCTGGTTCAAAACCCACACCTACTTGGAGGACTTTTCAGATTTTTACCATCCCAGTTCTGTTGCACTTTTGTTTTCTTCACCATGGTCCCATTGAGCTCCAGATAAAACACTTAAAGATACTTCTGTGGATCCCTGCTCAAGGCAATGGAGTCTCCTCTAGATGGTAGTTCAACCATCCAGGAACAAAATATTCTTAGTTGTCTCCAAGAAGGCAAAGTAATTTGAATTGTTGTAATCATCTTAATGGGAAAATTGAATTTGAATAGTATTATCCAAACATTGCCCTTCAAGATTAGTAATAATTTGGATTTTCTATCTTTCTGACAGCTAAGAAACTAACCATTCATGGATGTCTTAATAGTATGACTGGCTCATGCAATTGTACAATTTTAGAGGCAATAAGGCCCCTGGAGATCATGCACTTTAGTCTCAATGTTAGAATAAAAATGAAACTCAAGAATGTTAACTAAGTTGGTCAAAGTCATGCAGGCCTTAATATGGGGTATCTAAAGTTAGATTCTCTAGGAAGAGGCTATGGGGAAGAGTTATATGTGCAGGAAGTCTTTTGGTGGGGAACTCTGGAGAACTCCTTTAGGAGAGTAGAAGTCACAGGAGGGCAGAAGAGGTGGTTGTCCTTCCATGTATCTGCAAGGGCTTCAAATGATTCCACAGAGAATTCTGTTCTACTTTGAGGCATATGGGTAAGACACTGGAGGTGGGCTTCCTGTGGGGAGGAAACATGATCTTACACAGGGAAATTCTAGGAAAGCCACCACTTTCCAGTGGTCCTTATAGCTGATAGAACAAGGGTATTGTGCCAGAGTCCACTTGATAGTTTACCACTGGGATAAGAATCGTTTCATAAAAAAGTATATCCAAGTGTGGAGGAGCCAAGAGCCTTCTCTTTGATTCTGTGCTAAGTTTTTCATTAGTGCATGTTGTCTTAGTTATTATTTTAAGTAAAAGGATTAATTAAGAAAGATGCAGCTACCTGAGAAACCAAATTTCAGTGTTAGTTTTGGATGCCCAAGGGCTTATCAGAACCCCAAACTGCAAGCAACAGCTGAAGAAGACATGGTGAAGATTCTTGGGGAAAGGCCTCATGATTAAAGTATCCTTTACTATGGATTTGGAAGGTCACCTACAAGGTGATGCTATGAATGCAGAGGTCACAAAAACATGCCTACAAAGCAATGCAATGAAAACAGAGGTCACAAAATGCCTACAAAGCAAATACAGTGAATGTAGAGGTCATAAATATCCATCTATAGAAAAGTGAGAAAGCAGTCATTCAGTAATGGACTGAAAATTGGATTCAAAACCCTTGACGCTCAGTGCTAAATTCCATACATGTTTATTGAGCCCCCTGTTTATGTCTCAGCAATGTTCTTGGAGTTGGAGGTTTAGCAGCAATCAAAATAAGGTCCCTGTGTGTTTTAGTCAGCTTCTGAGATGCTGAGAACAAAAGAGTTTCATAGGTCTCAGTCTACAGATGACCAACTCCATTCCTCAGGGCCCAAGGTGAGGCAGAACATCTTGGCAGAAAGGAATAGTAGAGGAAAGTGGCTCAGGATGTGACCACCAGGAAGCCGGGGGTGGGGGGGGGAGAGAGAGAGAGAGAGAGAGAGAGAGAGAGAGAGAGAGAGAGAGAACGAGAGCACACTTCCCTTACCACCAACAAAATATAAACCCCAAGGGCACACCCCCAGTGATCACCTCCTTCAGCCACATCCTACCAGCCTACAGTTATCACCCCATTAATCCATCAGAGCATTAATGCACTTGAATAGGTTACAGCTCTCATAACCTAACCATTTCACCTCTGACTATTCTCATGTTATCTCATACATGGGCTTTTGGGGATACCACATATCTAAACTATAACACTGCCCTTAAGGCCTGATCTCTTAGAGGTTATTCTCTTGGATTTCTCACATCTTTCTTCCTATATTGTGGGCTCTGGATTATTGAGCTATGTTTTGTTTTTCTTTATACCTCTGACTTAAATGACTGACTTAAATGACTGGCATTTAAATGTTTGGCGCAAGAAAAAAAGTCGCAAATTCTTCTACACATGGAGACAAGTACTTGAGCTTCCACCATCACATCTCTAAATAATTAATTGTTGAACAAATATTTCTTTTCCAGCCAGATTTCAGAGACCTCATAAATCTTCCTGAGGGAGACTATAAAGGAAAGGAAATGCTGCCCAGTTTGAAAAATATGTTCAGAAGAAAAGAATATGATTTGCTAGTCACTGGAAAAAAATCATCCTGGCTGTGATTTATTTATTTTTATATATTGTTGTTCTCATTTTCTTGGAACAGATATTCTGACACCTACAGATTTTTCCTAAGAAGGTTGTAAACTCTGTTCCTTTGGGTTCCTTATACCCACCAGGATATTTCTGAGATAAGTATTCCAAAAGACCTAAGAGCTTCCTTTGCAAATGAATGTCTCAAGTTATACCTCTTTCAAAGTGAGAAAATATATTTTCTTTCTATGTTTCATGAAACTATATATTCATTATATAATTTTAAAACTTGACTTCTGAAACAGTGGGTGAATGGTTTAACAATGTAGAAACAATTAGTTGTATACAAACACATACATACATATCTATATTTCCAAAAAATATTCCCTAAAACTCTGATTTAGAAAATCTAGGATGGAGCTGGGGATGTGGCTCAAGTGGTAACTTCACCTAGCATGTGTAAGGCACTGGGTTCGATTCTCAGCACCACATATAAATAAGATATACTTATTGTGTCCACCTAAAACTAAAAAATAAATATTAAAAAAAAACGAAAATCTGGGGCAAGATTTAGTAATGTATCATTTTTTGATCATTCAAAATGACTTAATACATTGGAAAGAACAGAGACTTTAGAGTCAAAAATTTAGTCTCCATCCTGATTGTGGCCTTTTCTTCATGACTCTGGGCAACTCCTGTAGTTTATTTGTGCCTCTGTTTGTATTGAAGTGATTTTTAGAATGAATTTCTTTTTCTACCCTGAGTGGGTTGCTAATGTTTATTTTTAAAGTGAGCAAGCTTAAGAATGTCTTAAAAGTGATAAAGGCTAGACAGATTTCCTTGTGAATGAAAATTTTAAGAATTAAACATTACATCCCTCTATG